CTCAAGTACCTCCGAGACCTGGTCCGACCAACGTTTAGGGCTCCGGCTCCTATATTTTAGGCTCGGTAGTTTCAGAGATCATTGAGAATTGTCAATTTTTTTTATTTCTTTGGCATCAAATGGTCATTTATACTTGCAATCTTAAAGTTATAAAAACGATATGGCAGAAGACCTACAGTGCCCAAAATAAACAACTTAAAACGTACAGCTCATATCGAAATGCGAACAAATTTTAATTACGTTTTATGAAGTAAAGCTACTACTATCTTACTAGAGTAATAAATTTTCATCTTTCTTTTAATTAATTAATTTGATCATCGACTTACATTGATATGCGTACTAAATTTAAATTGAAACGATCTAGTAATTTCGATAAATTCGTCTGTGACAGACTGCAAAACAACCTAGTGATCCTGTGAGAGATCCATTTCCTTAATCGTTACGGATCCCTAGACACATATGAGAACATAGGAAAAGTTCGCATAACTGTACTCAAATTGGCTTAAAAAGCAAAAAATGAAGACCGCTTACATTCACATGTTTAGAGTTGTTATTTCCGAAGACAACGAAATGGTATATTATTAAGATTATACCGTTCGCTATTTACAACGTATTGTTGGCTTAACCACTTGTCAACTTATAGCAGCAAAAAAAACTATTGTTTTCCATAGACAATTTCACAACATACCGAAACTCTGAAGCGTCAACATGGCTATTACACATCCGGTTTCAAAAAGTATTCCTTCGCCATTGTCCTAGGTGAGCTTATGCGACATCGCGAAGACAAACTGTTGCATACACGTCATGATTTCATGGTCTGATTATTGTCGTGACTGTGTATCCGAACGCAACCTTTGATTTGTTTTTAAAAAGTACGACCTTAATTTACAATAGTTTTCGGTCTACATACATTGGTTCTTTCCAAGCGTGTTTTAGTACGTTTTTAGTTATTATATTCTTCTATATTCTATAAATTCTGTTACAAATTCTATTAAATTTAGCTTTAAACCTCATAAAATGTGAAAATAATTAAATTAACAGAACCAAACTTACTATAATTACATTAAGGTAGGTACAGGAAGTACATTTTTTGGTTTTCTAATTAGGGAATCATGCGAAAACAATCCCAAATTATCGTTTTTAATTAAATTTTAAAGAACGGTATAATAGAATTGACACCATTCTTGGGTTGAAATATTGGCTTTATATATATGATTATTTTATTGGGTCATATAGTTCAATACTTAATTTTAACCTAAAGTCCAAATTCTTCTTTTTCAAATAGACAACTTAAAACACCTCTTGAATTTCAGGACTTCTTTTACTTACATATGAACAAGAATGAGCGCAAGAAACTCCACAACAAAATGAAAATATTATGTTAAAATATAAATTTATCTATAGGCATTTTAAAATATTACATATAAATAAAATGTGAACTCACCTTTACATTCGTAATCATTTCAAATATCCAGAATAATTTGAAAATGGTGAATCATTTGAGTAATCTTCATTATAGCTAATTTTACCTAGCAATTACGCAATTATCTCATTAATTAGTTAAATCTAAGTATTTCCATTTAGCTGTAATAGGACAGACAGATTTCGATCATTTGGAACAGTAAAATTTTAAGTAATTAGTTACGTAAGTCACTTAACGAACTAGTTGCACATTTGCAGTAATGTAATTTTTCTTTGCTAATTACATAATATAATTGGGTTGAAAAAGTAGTTTTGATTGAGAAATTTTAATGGAATCGAGAATTATACATGATGATAACTGAAGGTCTTTTCTATTTGCCTCGAACGAAAATTCGAAATATTGCGATTTTGTATATAAAATTTTGTTCAATTGTTAAATAAAATCCGATCCGTGAAGATTATACTCTTATCTATTATAATTGTCTGTGTATCATTGCCAGTGTCTTAAATCAAAACAGTCACAAGTTTAAACAAAATTCTGTCGAATAACTAAGAATTCGGTAGTTAAATAGATGCATGCAATGCGCTCCAGTGAAACTACCGCCTAACTCCTTAGCCATGATTTAGGAGCGATATGAAAGTATCTAGCTAATCCTGCGACTTCGCTCGTAAAAATTATAGTCCACCGCGTATATTGTAACTTCCCGTAGATGAAAGTATTTCCATCATCGAATCCATATTTCCGAAAAGTACGCCATACAAACGAACAAACAAACACTAATTGATACCTTTTTATAATATTTACCTTTTTATAATATTAGTATAGATCTACAAGTTTGGTTATGTTTTGTTTCTCTGGATTGCACGTCCGTTGGTTCAGATACGGCTAATGAGCATATCTATTTAGCTTTTTACATATTCTCTATTGCAATACTATTAATGAATAACGTCATACGATATTCTCCACCAGTCGACAGTGTTAATAATGTTATCTAGTGGCCTACTTATCTTATTTTATTATTATGCCATTCAAACGTATAGCGGTTATGATAGTAATTTATGGAATTATGTAACTATACATATAATAATGATATGAATGATATAAAAGTCATAGGCATATCATTTTGTAGAACCACTTCACATATCATATCACTTGGCTTAGACATATTAACGTCAAATAAACGTTATTGTTCATTTGTTAGATTGTTCGTTTACATGTCAAATAGTTGTAGCGTCCAGTTCGTGAATATCTTTCATATGTCATATTCGATTATGATAGATTTTAAAATTATACAATTAGGCCACAAGTAAGTAGGTAGTAATATATTGATTTCTTATATTTTCACGCGCACTATCCATAAATGAAACAAACTAAACGATTTCATTGCGTTTGTATTTAGTTTTAGATGTTTCGGACCCTTTACAGGTTCCGTATTCATATAAGACTAAGGTACCGTCAAATACCAATACTATTGGACACATTCACAATATTTTTTTTATATATTATGGCAATATAGTAATACTTTTTCTCAACGTGCGTTTAGTTGAATCGTGTTGTGATCATGTTACATTGTAGGTCTCTTGGTCACGGACTTAGCGTTGGAAACGAAAGTGATTTTCTTCGAGAGATACACAGACTAGTGTTCTTAATGGGCCATGATAATAATAAAAGTATAATTTACAAAATAACTTTAAGCGTGTAGAAAAACTAATGAGAATTTTAATGTTTTTAATGTTAATAATAAAGCCATTTTTTATGTTCTTCATTGTGAAAAAATTACACACCTAGTTAGGTACACATAGATGTAATCTGTGGTTATAATAGTAGTCGTCAACATAACCTGAAGTGTAATTGGTCCTATATTATATTTCATAAATAATATTAATTTGTGCTTCCCGTAAACTTTGAATTTGAAATCTTATTCATTTGTTTGATTAGAGCAAAAATTCATCTAAATATTGCATTTAAATTTGAGACTTAATATATTTCCAACTATACAACTATATAATTATAATTTCGTCTTGCACGTACGTTACACCGAACTACAAAATTCAGAACAAACTTTTCAAGGGCGATTTTACACAACATACTCATCGATAGTAACAAACTCTTTGGTAATTTAAAAAGAAATCTTAATACACGCGACCTTTTTACGTGGGAAACCCGCAGCCCTATCAAAAATTTATTAGTCACGAGTTTTACGCAACACTACAGTCAAATGAACCGCGTCCGATGTCATTAGGGAAGAAAGCAGACCCACTATTACACCAAAATCAAGCATCCTTACCTCACACCTCCCTATGAACAAAAACAATCTCTAATGCTTAAATTAAAAGTGCAAAATCGCTCAAACGTTCAAACAGAAACACTTTGTTTTCAAAGAAATAAAATAATCAAATGAAAATCAACATTATTACGGTTGGTGCAAAATCGAAAATCGTTGGATACGCTGGCAACGTTTAATACCTCCTTATACTCGTTATTCCATTTTCGAAAGTTACAGCGAAAGTTGACGCTATACGGAGTGTGACCACTTAATCTTGATGCTATAAGGTGGAATAAAATTATAATTCTAAAGGGTTTGTTAAAATATCCTGGTAAAGATCTGTTAGAGGTTTGCCTTTCAACAGATGCCAGTAAATAATATTTACAATATTTGATGAATTTTATATTTATTATGTTATATCCAGCTTACGTCATATATCTGATGGGTAGTTATAGAAAATACTCGAGGAAATGGGTAATTCTAATATTTATATTATTTATCTACTGTATATGTTATTACAGTAGATAAATAATTGGAACAAAAAATAAAATATATAAATTAAATATCAGTAGGTACTCTTTACTTTTGTACAACAAAGTATTTTAATAGATATTTTATTTAAATTTTAAATAAAATAGTGATCTCAATGCCTTTTTCTAATTATATTGCTTGTTGTAACTTAATTGTTATGATTGTTTATGTCATAAATAAAAGGAATTTATTTATTTTTATCATCCTTTCTGACAGACAATGCAATGAGGGTTCAAGTGCGCATATAACACAATATGAATAAATAAATAAATAATAGAATTAAACATTGACAGCAAATATACATATAACACGGTACGAAAATATCAAAGCCATAAGTCCAGCTTTATCTATGACGAAATTTCAATCTTGGTAATTAGATAAATTAGCGACCACGTGGTCTCTTTAACTACAAGAAGTCATTAAAATCGCATTTATGTTTCGTGCACACCGACAAACGGACCTGTACAATTGTTTCTCTATGATAACGGAAAGCTTATATCAATCCTCTTTTAGTAAAATTTAAAAATAATCACTCAGAAAAGTTTTAATTCTCTGTTTAGAAAAGGTATAACGTGTTAATGAAGTGAGGAAAACCAAACTTTTTGCTCTAAAATGTTTACGTTAACGGAACCCTAGCAGAAAGTGAAAAGGAAGGAGTCTAGCGGCGGACGAGTACGCTTACTTCCGATTACAAACTTCCCACGACTAGACGTCCGAGAGCGCCGCGTTATAAAATATACATAAAACTTTTTAATATGTTCCTAAAAAAGTGAGTTAATTATGTGCGAACAGAACGTGCTTGATGGATTGGTGGCGGTCAAAAATTTCAAAATTCGAAGAAGAGCGCTCCGCTCCGGAAATATGGCGCCGGGGAAGTTGACAGTGTTTTGTTTTTTGGCGGGAATTCTCAGTGCAGTGTGCTCGGAGACGGACAATGATGTGTTGACATTGCAAGACAATTTAGACCTGAAAGACGACGTAGCTTCTGATAGGCGGAGGCCGTCGAATGAACAGGAGAAGGACATTCTTTTATTGGACGCTCTAGGGAGGAGAAAGGGAACATATCACAGTTCTTACAGTTCTTCCCAAGAAGATGACTCTATTATGGATTTGCTTGGAAAAAGTGAGTATTTTACATCTAACACAAAAATTATGAAAAGTATTACCTAATTATTATTGACTGCTTATGCGTCTATAGTAAAAGACATAACATGAAAGATGACAATAACAGTGTAAACAATAAAATTATTATTAAAAAAAATCATTTTTCTAAAGATACTGTCAAATCTGTTGTTAACAATAACTTTGTAATCAATGATGGGAATTATTACCATATAGTAAATTTCAGGCTACAAAATTATGGAAGCGGCTTCTTAAAATTTTAAAATATAAATCCCGGGACTCTAGAAAAGTGGGAAGTCCAAAACTAGTTGGTAACATGATGTGGCAACGATATCTTTATTATATAGTATTTATTTCAAAAGAATCCGGGATTTACATCATTATTTAGGTGTATTTATTTAAAGATTTATTTTTAGCTGTACATGCAGTTTCTGAGCATGTAGAGTGTATATAAAGGGAATAAGTTAATAAAAAAAACATCTCGATACCTAAGCTTTAAGTAGGTATGCATTCCTATTAGATCACTGGTCGTCATAAATAAAATATAGCTTTTCTAATTGACTAGTTATCTAGCATATATTTAAATAAAATAATTTTTGTCATTGGTTCTGTAATTTTTAAGTTTGTCCATTATGAAAGAATCATAATTTCTGCTTTGTAATATCAGTTATATATTTATTACCAAAGATAAAAACACATTAAATTAAACGCTATTTGATTATTTATTAGAATCGAAATATTAATGTCTCGTACAAATAACTGTTTTATAACTATGAAGCATAAAGAAGTGCTCTTGACTTCGACTGTTGAAAAACTGTTATTCCCATACATCAGATCATCTTGACGACCTTCTTAGAAGAATAGCTCGTATGGCTTTTTCGAGGTGTCATCTCTGAAGACCCCGGTTCGGTTCCCGGTCGGTAAATGTAGAAAATGAACTTTTCTATATTGTCTCGAGTCGTTGTGTTGTGGTACTCGGTATCCCTGACAATAGTTCTAAAAATTACTTGATTTAGGATCTGCTATGCTATTCTTTAAATAGCCTCGAACTCAACATCGAGCACAGTTTTTAGAGATAGAGCCCAGCATAGACATTCAATGAAATAAAGCCTTTATTACCTCTAGAAGTAAGGTTTATTTAATCCAACCTCTTTATTATGGCACCGTTGTGCTTAATGTCGAATATGAAACTTGATTTTAAAACAGAATAATATTGCTAAGCAACTTATGTGATGTTGTTCAATATTTGCATATTGCTTAATATTTAATTAATATAATCTACTGGGTAGCGCTTTTAAAATAAAGCTTTGAAATTAAAATACATCATACGTAACAAATTTATAGGTAATAAAACAGAAGACCTTATTATATTTTTAATTGAAAACACTATCAAAAACGCTTAATTTCTTCTTTTTATTATATGAATACATTTATGTTTATACGCACCAATAATGACTTTAAGCTCTAATGAATAATCTAAATTTGAATATTTGTATTAGTAATGGTTCTTTAAACTAATGACAATTTTAGTGGACTGACTGTGATGACTACATAACAGTCTAAAATTTAATAACATCTTTAATTAAATTTATGACTGTACCAAATAGTTGGCTAATACTCGATAGTTCGATTGTGTAATTAACTTAATTACAAAAATTATTTGTAAATTAACTAGTTGTGAACAGACGGGCAGACGGAGAAACACTTGAGAAGTGTTTCGCTTTTTACTTTTGAAGCAGAGGATCTAAAAAAGTGCGTGTTGTGCGTGTGAAGTAACAATAAAGTTGATAAAATATTAATAAATAAATATATATTGACAATTATATATTCATATACTCTTCGGAGTTGGTGATTAATACATCATTATTTAGGTGTATTATATAGTGATTATTACATTTTTATCATCATCAATATAATATAGTGATAATTTTTTTATCATCACCAACCTGCTAATGATCTCACCGCGGTAATATACATACCTTTCTTATAGGTAAGACTACCTAGGGAGAGCCTACGGTATTGCGGTGCAAACCTTTCGGCTCTAAGACGAAATATGTAAAAAAACCAAATTAACTTGTGCAGTCGCTAAGTCTTTTTATAGGTATCATTATAATACTTACTGTTTTCCCGCAATTTCGCCCGCGTATATTATAAATTATGTCACCTGGGTATGATATAGTTTCTCGTTGGTGAAAGAATTTAAATGATCGGATCAGTCTTTATCACATCTAACCACTCTAGCATATTAGTGTAGATTTGCCTAGAAAATAACTTTTTTTCTCAATTTTTAGGGTTGTGTACCAAATTATAGTAACCGAATGATCGGCCGGATGTCACAGCCGATTTTCTCAAAAACTACTGGACCGTTGAATTGAAATTTAGAACATTTATGTAAGTCGGTGATCTATTACGTATTTTAATCAAAAATAAAAAATCTTAATTATTTATTCAGTCTAGGCTGTTACAAGCACTTGTGAAAGTGGAGAACAACCCCATCGGTTCGTAAATCTACGGCGGGAGACCTTGTACCGAGAAAAACCGGCAAGAATCTAGGCAAGGGCTGCTTTTTTCTCCCTGTTTTATTTCATACAGAGCGTCAAGATTGAAAAATAATTTCATTTAAATATGAAGTCACTTTCCATTACAACATTACGTAATATAAGAGTAAAACAGTATTTTCGTCAATCGAATCACACGTGTAGTCAAAGAAGCTCACCGATAAACAATTTAATATACATGAAAAATGAGCCATATTTAACACCAAGCAGTTTTGTCGTTTAAATATTCATTAACAGTATAATATCCTTTACTGAGTAGACAATTCTTAACTTAGGCAATGGTAAATTTTAAATTTCCATAGGAATTTTATTATAGTAGTGTATACCTTGACCCATAAGTGATGATAAAACCTTATTTAGCCTGCATGACGGTAAAACAAGTTTATCTTTGTTTCTGGTATTAAAATTGTGTACATGGCTATGTTTAATATAATTGTTAATATTGTGTCTAACATAAAGTATACAATTGTATATGAATTGGGAGGCCACCGTTAATATCCCAGTTTCTTTGAATTTATCTGTAAGTGATGGTCTTGAACCCAACTGATAAATAGCCCTTACTGCTCTTTTTTGTAAATTAAATATATACTCTATATCTGCAGCCATACCCCACATCAGAATGCCATATGACATAACGCTATGGAAATAACTAAAGTATACTGGTCCTAGCAGTATCTACATCTGTAAGTTGCCTAATTTATATTTTTATTGCAAAGGCAGTTGAACTTAGTTTTCCTGCCAATAATGAAATTTGTGGATGCCATTGCAATTTAGAATCCAGCGTTACACCCAACAAGATTGTTGAATTAACCAACTCGAGCTTTTCATTATTAAGTTTAATAATGAATTTCTTTACCGCCAGCGGGTTCGATATGATCCCTTGGAAACGTGTAGTGGGATAAAAAGCCTATATGTTTGTTCAGACTGAATTATTCGTATACCAAAACTGATCAAATTCAATTTTGTAGTTTTTGCGTAAGAGTAACAAACATACTGTAATACATACAGCCATCCTCATAAGTTTGAAACAAATTTTAAGGTGGCTGCCTCGTGACCGGTTATTATTGTGATTGGATTTATTTTATTTGAAAATACAATCGAGACCCGGTCCCGAATAAGAGCCGTAAAAAGAATAACACCTTTATCGGTCGGATTCCCCAACTATACCGCGCAAAGTTGGTCTTGTCTTGAGTTGTTATAATTACCAAACAGACTAGTTTGAGGTGTCTTACGATTAGTTGACCACCAGGTTGATGGCAGACGGCCTCTTATGCCTCTTATATTTAAATCTTTCTTATATTTTATATAGATTTATTTCCTAAGGGAAAACAATCTATTTATTCTAAGGGTTTTGTCACAGTTAAAATTTAAATTTATAAAAATTACTCTTTTGAATTTTTTTTGAACTCATAATTTTTAGTCACCCATCTTATGACCGGCCCTTAAAAAAGTTACTTTCAGATAGTACTTATATGACTTAACTATCTTGACAACGTTTATTTAAATACTTAGATTCAGAAAGTTAGTTGCGTAAAGCAGGTTGTGTCGTATATCGTGATGAAATAATGTAATTTCATATCATCATTATCATCAGACACTGCTCCACAACTCAAGACTTCCTTATGGTTGGTTAAGGAGGACGGGCCATGACCTTTCTCACTGGCCTAATACGGATTGGAGGGTATTAACGACTGCAAATACAGCCGAGACCTACGGCTTAACGTGCCTTCCCAAGCCCGGAGTAACTCGAGCTAATAATTTTTTAGTCACCCATTCCGTAACCTACACTTGTGAAAGTTGCTTAACAACAACGATCGCATTCTGCGGCACTTACCCACTAAACCACCGAGCTACTCTCGTATTAATTTAATTTCGTACTGCTAACATATTTTGTTGTATGTCAGTGATTGATTACCCACATTTCATCTACCTTAATGGATGTTTATTGTGTCAGATGAAGTGTACAAGTAAACTTCATCTGACACAATAAACATCTAATCTAATAAAATAAGTAATAACTGTTATAATGTTATTTGTGGTGAAAATATATCTTATTATTATTATTATTATTATTATTAAAAATAATAGTTGTTCGTTATTCCATGAAAATACTTACAAATGTATATGAATTTATCATTTTTTATTCGCATTCTTATCTCAGCTTATGTCTGCTTTAATTTAAGACCGCTTTTTATACAACAATTACCAGTACCTAAGTATTTCATTAATCAAATTTCGGCACATAATATTTTTATGCTATTACTGGCCATCTTCGACCACTAGCCGCCATAGACTAGAGCCTACAGTGGTAAGGTAAATGCGCTACTGTTAAGCTCCGGACGCCGAACGCGCTACTACTACTTACTACTACGATAAATGTGATCCATTATACAGTAACAGTGATATTACCGATAGTAAAAGCGATTTTAATAGTGAAATTTGTAGATCGTGTGGTTCACCGGTTCATCGTTCGATCGCGGTTGCGTGATCTCGCTTGCTTACGTTATTTATGGTAATAAATTGCGGTTATCGCGTTTTAAAAAGCGTCTATTTGTATTATGTAAAAGTGTTATTGGCGTTATATTGGTATGACGTATTTTTAATAATATTTTATTATCATTTCGTTCACACTGTGAAATTAATTAACAATGACGTTAATTTAAAAAAATGTTATTCTGATGAGTACGATGAAACTATATATTTTTTCAAGGAAAATTGAGGTTTTTTTTTCTATTTAAAAAAGAAAATATGGCTTTGTGTTTAACCGACTGGAAAATCTAAAGGGAAGTTCTATGTTCGACGGATATGTTCACCTACACATGCTAACACCGATAAATATGCCGTATGTGAAAAGTTTGAACAAGAATAGAACGTTTTAGTACGAAATTTCAACAATGGTCGTTAATGGTCGACCTCCATAGCCGAGTAGTTCGCTCGCCGTTTCCAAGTCGCCATATCTGATGTCCCGGGTTCGATTCCCGGTCAGGTCAATGTAAAAAACTTTCTATATCGTCTTAGGTCTCCGTGTTGTGTTACCTGCGTTGTCTCAGATACTCAATAATACGGGGGCTTTAGCATTTTGGAATCTAAATAATGTATGTGATGTTGTCTAATGTTCAATATCTATTTATCTATCTATGGTCTTAAATGCCGCAGGTACCTTATAACACATTTTTTTTTTTCAATAAATTTTCAAAAACAAAATGTCTTGTTACAATTAAAAAGATTTTTTTGAAAAATAGTACAAGAATGGTATTCTATAAAAACGGCCTCGATCTCGACGTCGAGCGTAGCACTGTGACAGCATAAAACTTAAATAAAATCAAACCTTTACTACTATTTGATTAAGGTTCTTTTTGATTGACAACTAAACACTGCAGACTGTAAATATGGGCTAGTATAAAAGAAAGACACGTAACAGAATCTCAAACATATATTATTTTAGAAACACCAAAAACTAAGAATCAACTAACTGACTTGTGTGAATAGACAAAACAAATCAAAAATATAGAAAGTATAAAAAGTAAATCTATAGAAAAGGCTGCCTTAAGCAACAACCACTATCAGTGCTACTTATAAACAAGGTTTAGCGTCAGAGTAAATTTACGCTAAAATTGTGATTTTAGTATTAGTCCATATTCATATTATACAGAGAATAATCAAATCTACTACCTTCTAGGAGCAAATATTACTCTCGTAGAACCCCGTACTAGGTTAACCTTTGTTAAGTCTCTGTTAATAATATGAATTTTTACTAATACGAAGAGCAGTCTCAGCGTAAATTTACTCCAACGCTAAACCTTGCTTATCAGTAACACTGTTATATGTTTAACTACATCTACTACATCTTCATTAATAAGCACTACAATTCGATCTATTCGTACGCACGGTTGCTATTCTGTTATAAAAACGGAGGCATAGGTTCAATCAAATAAACCCTACCTTAAAAGGTAATAAAGATTGTATTTTCAACTATATCTAATGTATCTTTACACATTCCTCAAATTAAAGGACTAACAAACGAATAATATAGTGATTATATAAGAATTCCGTATTTTCCTTTTTAAGTAAAGGTTCCTTACTTCAAAAGGATGCCGGAAAAAGGCGATACCGTGCTGCCAAATATAGTCCAACCCTAAACAACTAGTCTAATCTATTCATTGTCACAAAAATTGGCTAAGTGCGTGTCGGACACGCATTAAGCCTGTGGATTTGAGAGTTGCGTAGAAATTTCTTAAAATTGCGTTAATGCAATTATTAAATTTGTTGCATATTCTTTGTGAAGACAATTAGCAATTTTTCGAAAAGCAAATTCCTTATAACTAAATGAAATATAATATCTGTTATGTACACTCGTGACTAACTTATATAATATTTTATATAAATTTATATAGAGGAAATATTTGATTGTTTTGTTTGCATCGAATAGGCTTAACGGAACTGATTTTATAAATTCTTTCACCAACGGGTAACGTTATACTTGATTGGTTTACGCGTTCGAATTCTCGGGAAAACACCTAGTATTTTATATTTTACTTTCAGTGATTCATTAGGAACTCTAAACGCAATGCAAAAGGCCCCCCGTAAAAATGTTACAGTTTCTGAAATTTAATAAATTACAATATACGTTATTAGTATAAGATAAGCATAGTAACTAAAGGCCTTACTTAAAGCAATGTGTAAGATAGTATTTTGTCCTTCTCACTCGAAGTTAGTTATATTGGTATGACGTGAACTCTTTAGACGTATCTAAAATCAGTTGAGTGAGGCCTTAGGTCTATATTAATAATTTACTAGAGTTTTCCTGCCACTTCGCCTGCGTAAGATATAGCTTCCTTTATGTGAAAGAATTCTAAAAATGAATTTAGTAGTTTCGGAGCCTATTCGATACTAACAAACATATAATGAAATCTCTTTACAATATTAGTATGAATAAGCATTAAATATACGTATAAAAAGGTTTCATCTAATGAGGCGCAATTTTTTTGAAAACTATATTATATTTGAATTACTGATTATTCAACCGCAAGGGACCATAATTTTCACATGCTCTTATTGTTGTTTTAGTTCTCGGGCTATTCAGGCCTTCCAAGGAGAAATCATATAACTTCGATCAATGAAAATAACATAATGACGTTTCTTTTTACAGTGATACCACAGACCTGTCGCTACAGAGGTGCTAGGTATCCCTGTGGACTAAGTATATCATGCGTAATCGGTGGAGGGAAGCCCTTAGACCTATGCTCTGGAGGCATGATATGGGCATGTTGCGTCGACAGGGATACTACAGAAAGACCAAGCGAAATTGCACCTGTCGTCCATAATGCAAGTAAGTAGAAACACGCAAAGTCCGAGTTATAATAACTACTTCGGAGACCTGTAATTGTCACTCATGTTGTAGCTAATTGAATGTCATTGTGATTTAAAAACGTTAAATGTAAATAAATACACACAAATATTCTTCGAAACATAGACACGACTTTAATTGTAATGTTTATGTTATGTTAAAACACTTCACTTCACTTCATTGAAAACTAACTTATGTTCAACTTAAGGCCATTATATTTAATTAAGAGTTAAAAAAGCACTGTAAAATTAATTGTTTAAAAAAACTATTGATCATCATCTTTTCCATTTTTTCACTGAAGCCTTAACTAAAATTCATGTTTCTACTTTTACAAAATGCTTCGACCGTATGATCAAATTTGATTAAGAATATACACAAATATTAGCATATCACTAAATTGAAATTTGTCAAAAAAGGAGAAGTTCTAAGAAGGAAAAATTTTGTCTTTTTTTAAACTGAAAACTAAAAACTGGCTATAGTGGCAATTTTCACACCATAACATTGCAAAAGTAACTCACTAGAATGTTTAATCAAAACAGTCACAATAGTATAATAAGTGGGTCACGGAGTATAAAATAGTCTCTATTGTTAAGAGAAGAAGGTTAAAAGTGCCAATTTATTATTCACACATTTGGTATTACGAAACTTGACGGCATAATGCAAGCATGCAATACTTTCTCTAGCGGGTTCACATTATGAGCGATAGCGGAAAGCCAATCAAGTTTATTTAGATACTTATATAGGTAGTGAAAGGCTTTTTTATCTAGCTGCTCCTGCTTACTGAGCATATAAGGCCGTAATGATATTTATTTCTCGTTTTTACCTCTTTAACTTTTATTCTCAATACCAATGTTTTTTTTTCGTTCTTTTCATCAGCCCTTAACCTAACCTTTATGTTTTTGTTGCCATACTAATTACAAAATTCTTGAACACGAATCTACATACTCAGAGGAAAAAATGACAAAAATATCAATGTATTAAAAGGGAACTGATACATTGACGAAACGTTATCTGTCTTATAGTTGTGTGGCCTAGTGATAGATTGGACAAATGTTACTCGTAAATATCCCAAATGTTTTGTCATAATAATAATCAACAGTTAACAATAAACCAAATGAAACGCTGTCATACAAAAATTCGCAAATCGTTATTTGTCACAGAGAAACATTGGTGATACTTTTGTTGGCAAGTGATAATCGGCCAAACAATTTTCGCCGAAATGGTAGGATCCCGCGCTTATGACATGTACACCTATGTTCAAAATTCACGCGCTGATTGTTACAAGACGCACGGTTATCCTACAGCGGGCGTTTCCGTGCCCGTCTGTACATCTTACGGCAATTTTGTAATACCCTTTATAAACTTCACACTTTCATGACTTTTTTTTCGCCTATTGTCTTGGTAAAGTAATAATTCGATATTGTGACGGTCTATGATTCGTGTCATCTAATTTTGTGAGAATTTGATTGTTAGTTGTTCTTTGAATTATTACGGGTATATTATTTGGAATAGTAATTCAGGTCATACAAGTACTGTAGTAAATATATAAACATTCATGGACGTACGCTCCATTTACTTAGGTATCAGGCAACAGTAACGATTACAAATACTTTTTAATGACAATCAATGATAACCTGCGAGAATTCTGGCAAATAATAGTAAAATTTAGGATTTTTACTAAATCATATAAAGTAATCATTTTTTATTACTTCATATTTACATTTTTTTTTCATATTATACGTCCATAGACGACAATTTCAATGACGTTAGTTTTCAAGTAATATTTTACAAACAACATTAATTCAATTTTAATGCGTACTAAAAATCTTGATAGCGTATATACATATACAGACAAACCAACTTTCTATCACGTTGGGTTTATTCTTTAGTCTGTGCTTATAAGGGAAATTTATGTTGCGTAAGTACGTACGCAGCATTGCAGCCCTCAAATCTCACGTACATAATGTTTTATTACCGATTCATGATACGAGTGAAATTTTAGTGAAAGTTAACATTATTTCATGACCGTTCGAGCGTCACCACAGAATGAATACGGATCGAGGAAGGGGTAGCGTTCGATGGTTGAATATCTCTGGAAGTCTATCTATAGAATTATATAGAGCATTGAAGCCATTCCTTCAGTCTCCCTCGGTTAACAAGAGAGAGAAGATCATGGAACCATATGTCTGGTATATCTGTGATTCTTATCTATTTGGTAATTAAGGAGCACTTTTTATCTGCCATGGCAGCTCCGGTATGTTGTAATAAGAAAGAAAGAGCTTCCAGGGTCAATAAATAGTCAGCGGACCGGACCGGGTTAAACACCCAACAAAACAATTAAATGGTTTATTTATAGCTGTCTAATACTGTGCATACATTACTAGAGAGTGACAGGGTACTGCGATCTTCTCTCTCTTTCTAACTGGTGGACACTTCTGATTATAGGCAGCCGAATATCCTCCGTATTCTATCCTTAATGCCTTCATAGGTCTATCACCTATTGCCATTCTTTGCTGTGATTATAGTAAACTTTATGACATAATCGCGCTATTGTGTACTGACTGTGAAAGCTTTATTGCTTTTGTATGTACTTTATAAACTAAGACAATCCTGGTGCATTGCTATATTCCGCACTTATTATTCGATAAGATTGACTAAACGTTAAGTTAAAATAAAGCTGTCGTTATGGCTAATTCCATAACGACAGCTTTATTTTTTAATTAAAAAGTTAACTAGATAATATGTCCAACTTAACTTTCCGTTGTAGGTTTTTTATCGAACGACAAAATCATTTCATTGTTTTGTAATAATAAATATTCAATTTTGTAACGTTAAATTCCATAATTAATGCTTCCTTTAGTGTTACATATTAAAATTAATTCTTGTTACGTTTTACCGGAATAGCATTACATAAGTATAATGGAAGGTTGATCTAATTCAGAGGTTTCCAAACTGTTTTATCTAAAATCACTTGTCATGTTATTCGGTTATACATTATCTGCATTTTTGAAAATTCATCAACTTTAATGGTATTTCATACGTACGTTAAAGTGTCTTTGTTGACTGAAGGACTGACTCTAATTTGAAGGGCTATGCAGATAGTTTGAAGTCTGGAGAAGAATATACAGCACTTTATCAAATAGGTAATATATTCTAAATTCACGTGGGTTTACCGTAAAATAAAGGTTCAAATATTTAATATGAAGTGAAAGTGAAGGGTTTTTCACGTAAATAACTTATAGATGTATTGTTACTAATACAAAACAAAAACATACAGTCCTGAATTTAATCTACTACGTTGTTACCTACATGCTTTTACACATAATTATACCTACCTACATATACATACAAATCTAACCCACAAAATTAACCACAGGTGACCTTATAGAACTGATTGGAACATTCCCACACGAATCATACGATTATCAAAACACAAACCAATATGAGGACCCAGTCATCATATATACGGATACAAATCGCCCGAAACCACATCACAACCGTCCCGAGTCAGACTATAACCATCAATCACCGGGCCCGAGTAGGCCCGAGTTGGACTATAGTCATCAAAAACCCAGCCCGGGTCGTCCCGAGTCGGACTATAGCCACCAAAAACCCAACCCGGGTCGCCCCGAGTCTGATCATAATCACCAAAACGACTACTACGACCAGAACAATTATTTTCACGTGAAACCTTCGTATCACGAGATTACTACACAAACAGAATACACGCCTAATGTGAATGATGCTGATGATTATGTTCCTGTTGTAACTAACGGCCACAAACCACAGAGGCCGAGCTATCCGGGTGAGATCTGGTGACATTTTTAAATGCAAAGAAACCGATAAAACTCAAGCGCCATGTTATCTAATAAATCTTGCTTTTATTAAAAAAAAAGGTTTGAGATTAAATTCTAAATCAGAGAAGTTTTCTAACTAGGCAGGTAGGTTTTTACTCATTTGTGCAAAAAAAGATGATTTAATTGCAAACAGAAAATAATTATTAATACAGTCGTACTCATTTTAATTTTTCAGTAAGTATAAATATTTCCTTATTGTCCGTAAAATGCATTTTTCCATTACACGTGTTAACTTTAAATGCTTGCTGATTGCTAGAATTTATTATAAAAAATATGGAGTTATTTATTACATAGGTATTTATGTTTCGTTGAGAATTGCGAAAATTTTAATTGCTATAGTAGTGAATTATCTCGAAATATGGCGCTAGAGTTTTTCACTGCAATTTATCGCTATCCCTTTCTCGCTTTACATTCGCACAGCGTTTTCGTAGTACCTATTTCGTAATCATCACGCACCATTTAGTTTAATGTGCACCGAGCTTTAAAAGCAATTAAATTCGAAACTCTTTGCCAAAAAATATAATATTTCATTCAAAAGAGGTTTTAATTTGAAGATTTAATTCACGAATCGTTTTTCTTTTATCTTTGGTAAAGTGTTTTGCTATAGATTCACACTAAATTAAGCTGATTATTTAGTACAAATTATCGTTACAAGATTGTTAATGGAGTCTTTTTTAGTGGGCATCTTTTTCTTTTTAGTTTTAATTCCTTCAGTGCATGCTACCACGATCTATTGTATCTTAATTGGTGATAATATTAATATTATAATATTCTTGTTGTATATATGTAAATATTTAATTGCTCATATTTTAACACAATTTGACCGCAAAAATGCTCTGAGGAATAACCTGGCTTGCCAGGATGGGGCCATATACAAGTATTTCCTATATATGAAACCATACCAGAGCACTTGCCATCATTGGATTGTTGGTTATACAACGTAAAACCATCAGCGTTTATCATATTGGATTTAAAAATATATTAAACTCCTTGTATTCCACTCATCAAAGTTCTTTTATTTAATATCTATAATAAGGTTAATTGAAAAATTATAAATTTCACAATTTCTTTTATTTTGTTTCTCAAAAGTTTATTCTAAATCTCAGTGAAGCACTTGATATCGATATACTTAACTTTGAAAACGATTACCTACTGTCTTTTATTTATCTTGATAATCAATCACTCATTGAAACTAAAAATGGACCTGGTATTTATGTATTATTCGATACATTGTATATTCTATAAAATTCTAATACTCTTATTCGGTCAACAATATCGTTCAGTTAACAGCTGAATATTCACTTGAAATATTAACTATCACTTGGTTTTACCCAAGTCACTTGCTTTAACCTCATTGGATAGGTATACAAGCACCTTAATGCAGCAAAAAATTAACTAGCAAGTACTAGCAATCTAATTGAAACATATTCCTTACAGGTTGCGGTGAGCACTACACTCGATCGAATCGAATTGTCGGAGGACATTCTACGGGTTTCGGTTCGCACCCTTGGCAGGCGGCTTTAATAAAATCGGGCTTCTTGAGCAAGAAACTGGCTTGCGGTGGGGCGCTCATATCTGATAGATGGGTGATTACCGCTGCTCATTGTGTCGCTACGTAAGTAATTTAAGATGAAATCATCATTAACTTTTATCAATGTTCATCATCAGCTGAGCAATCCATCGAGCAATGTCCATTGCGTTAGTTCTTTTATCGATATTTTAGTTTCTTATTCGATCACGTAGGGAAACACAAATCGTTGCTCTCTCCATTGCCCACAGGGTAATCTTGAGCCTTCATATGAAGCCCATGTAAACAACCACGTTTCACTTCCGTCGAAGTCGAACATACTCATCGAAGATACCCGTCCATATCTAGGATATAAAAAAAAAAATAGAATACCAAAACAATCATTGGTACCTACGATGATTCATAACAAACATTAAAATTATCAAAAACATGCGTAATAAAACTGGGTAATGTCAATTCAAGATGAATGAATGAAATACCGCATCCACACCGGATGCGGTTCTTCACTTGCCGTTGCCCAAAATTCTTTTATTTGAATTCAGCGCAATAATATATTCTTTTTTTATACTTACTATTTTCTTTTGTGTTTATCCGCCCTTTCTCTAGGCTTCCTGTCCTTATATTCCCAATGTAGACGGCTAGTTAAATATTATTTAATATTATCATTCTCCTACAGGACTCCGAATTCTCAGCTCAGGGTGCGACTAGGTGAATGGGATGTCCGGGATGCTGGAGAGAGATACTCGCACGAGGAATATGCAGTACAACGTAAAGAAGTACACCCAGCATATGAGCCGGCTGACTTCAGGAATGACGTGGCTTTAGTACAACTTGATAGGGGTGTCGTTTTCAAACAACATATATTGCCGGTAAGTTTGATGTTCTTCATTTTTTGTTGTAAAAAAATATTTTTGATCACGCTTATAAGCATCAAAAAGTTTGTTTTACTTATATTTCATAATATGTCTTATGGTCTTAATGGTGATTAAGTCAGCTATATTAGGGAAAAGTACAATGTTCTTTTTAAATTTTTTTTCTCGGGTTTATCAACTTCCTAGAACTTCAAATATTTATCTTTATAACTCATTTAGCAATTCATTTTCGTTATAGATTTCGGATTCATAAACATATGTATGAACTTAGTACCCGAGTTCTATTATAGTGCGGTTTTACTATAATAGGGATGACGATTGGGTAAAAAATGCTACTTCAATTTAACAAGAAATAGATAACAGGCATTAAATTTGAGGAGTGGGGGCTCGCTACGTCATATTTGAGTAGAAAACGTACCCTAACGTGACGTCATGCAAAATTTGAACTCCATGTAAGCCGTAATTTTATGATTACCAAAAAAATAAAAAAATACGTTTTTAATATTTTTAATACTCTACCTGATGGACTATAACAAACAAAAATTAGTCATCATCCCTATTGTAATGATTTTTGAAAAATAATTTATACAATCAAAGTATGCCTCTTTATTTTACGTAATTTATATGTCAATATCTAAGTACTCAAATCTGCCTTATAAGTAGACTCGCGATTTAGTTTCTTTTTATCTCCACCTTAACACTTTTTAAATACAGGAAAATTTTACTATCAGTGCTTTTTTTATTCTTGTGATTTAATATCGTTGGAACATATTTACGAAGTTATTTTAGTGTTTGTTTTAAGATTTAGGAATAAATTGTACGACTCAATTACACTGTTTGATGTGGTCAGCACGCGGAGTATGGACAACCTCTGCTCACTCATTTCATTAGTCATCAAAATAATCATCGACCAATGTCAGTGAGGAACGGAAATTGTCCACACTGCGTACGCGGATGTCATAAAATAGTGTTAGGCTGCTTTTAGCATCACGCTGACCATCGGTACTGACAGGCCAATGTGTATGGGTCTATAGAGGCATTCTATATTTATATCGACCGCTCAGTGCTGACGAGCATAGGCTCTGCGCCATACGCGGACGTACGCGTTGTGCGTCGGCGCCGCTAAGCGGTCGGTCAGGGGGCCAATTCTACAAAATAAATTTTGTTTAAATACAGTTTTTAATGGTTTTCCTATTCTACAAAGTTACACACGATACAATTCCAATTCTATTTTAGCTGGAATTGTATCGTATGCCACTTAGAAGAATAGAAAACCCATTAAAAACTGTAGTTTCGTTAGGTTTCGATCGGTTTTCGATTCGATTTGAACAAAATTTATTTAGTAGAGTTGGCACCCAGTACTGACTATCGCAAGCGCGCCTACGCCTTCAACGAGCAATCCAGCGTTGAGCTGAGCGGACACCGTCTACGTATACACTCATGTGAAATGACGATAAACACAGGAGAATTGTGTGAATGCATTCGACCCACTCTACAAAAATAAAGATGACAGAAACAAGTACTGCTCCATTATGTAACTTATCACTAAACTTTGCCAATCACAAACTATTGTTAGTTTTTCTTTTTGATATGCGAAAGTAGGTAGAGGTTTTGATATCGTCATCCCTTTAACTCTTTTTCAAAATAGTGTCAGCTGGTCGTACAATGTCACAAAAACACCCACTAGCAATCTTTGAGCGAAGTGTACGAACACGCTGTGTTATTCTTTTTCGTTGGCCCTTTTTTCTTTTTGCATAAATAATACACTGCAACAATTTGAACAAGCACAGGATTGGCCATATATACAGGAACGACACCGAAACGAGTATGCGCTGATAGCTACACGCATAGTCGTCAGCGCGGATGGTCTGCGTTGCACTAAAACCAGTCTTACTAAGCGAATAGTGCTATTGATAAAAAAACGGTCATCGATAACCTTGTCCAGTAGATATATCATAAGCAGCAACATGTTTAAAAACATCTCTTTTATGTTTTATCTTCGATGATAGCAAGTTAAAAAAAAAGAAAAAGTGTGATAATTATTTACTGTTACAAATAAAATATCAAACTTTGTGCACTGATTACAAATTGTTCCTGTGCGCTGGCCAATAATCTTTATTCCGTTTTTTAGGTATGTTTACCTCAGAAGCAAATGAAGTTGGCCGGCAAAATGGCGACTGTAGCTGGGTGGGGAAGAACGAGACATGGACAAAGTACCGTCCCATCTGTATTACAGGTACTGAGAGAATCCTTTTATGTTAACTTTATTTTTAAAATAGTACCTACCTACCTGAGTCGCTCAGAGGCGTAGAAGATAATCGCCGCGGTCTGAGACCATTGTTGCTAAGCAACTTTTGCAAGGGTCGGTCACGGGATAGGTGACCAAAAAATATTATTTCGAGCTATTCCATGCTTCGTTGAGCGGTAGTGTTGATAGCGTTGAGGACAATCGCCCATCCTCCTTAACCATCCTTAAAGAAGACCAAAGCTCTTGCAGTGGGAAACTAAGGACGTCAAGGAACTGTTGATGATGATCCTACCTACACAAATTTAGCATATCGATGTTTTAAAGTAATAATTTGTCTAAATTTTAGATTTCCAAACAATTTTTATTTAATTCTTTAAAGCAAATTATATCGTATTACCATATTGCCAAGGACAGGAGATAAAGAAATCTCGTAAGAGGAAAACTGTCTACCCGCTGACGGGATCATGACCTTCAACAATGAGGAAAAGGATTTGAGGTCGGAGAAAGATATCGAGAAATTTTCCGCCAAAAATCCCTTCGTTATATATTAGAAAAATTAATACCTGCTTTCAATGTTTCCAGGAAGTGGACGTGGAAGTGATACCGAACGAGCGATGCCAGAGATGGTTCAGGGCTGCCGGCAGGAGGGAAACAATACACGACGTGTTCCTGTGTGCCGGATACAAAGAGGTAATTACACTTTATTCATCACCATCACTTTATTCAATGTGGGTTTGGTCTGCGATTATAGAAATTAAGCAACGTTCACGAAGGTCATTATTAGGATTGGTGATCAAAATTATTATTATTTCGTGCTCCTTATGTGATAATGGCTTTACTTGTATCTGCCAATCTGCTGTAAAAAACTGCCAATTCACATTAAGCCAACGCAGTCAATACCCGCCAATCCACACTAAACAAAAGTAGTCACCATCAGCCAATCTGCTCTGACCCAGTGTAGTAAACACCTATCAGTAATAGCCAGTAAAATTATCACCTATCGCCATTGTAATAATCATCCGCTAATCCGTACTAGTCATTGGAGTAAATACTCGCCAATGCTCACAGACCCAATATCCGCTTATCCGTACTAAGCTAACGTAGTAAATACCCGCCAATCCTCACAAAGCCAGTACCCGCTTATCCATACTAAGCTAACGTAGTAAATACCCGCCGATCCTCACAAACACAATTAAGGATGTTAAATAAATCAAGTATTTTTTTAATAACTGTACTAGTGTTCCTTTTTTTAATAAAATATTGAAACTTATTGAAAAAAATAACCAACTCAGGTGCCTGATACTGGATTCACACCCATATAAATGTTTGTCAATTTTTCTATAAAATAAATTTCACTGAATTTACTAATTTATTTCGGTGTAATTATCCAATATTGCATTTTGAATGCATAATAATACATCCAGTAAAGCATTTTGAATACAACAGTGGAATCCAAACCCATAAACATTTTAAATAATTTTTCTATAAAATAATTATCACTTATAAACAAAATTTCCGTAATAAATATCCAATATCGTGTTTTAAATACAATAATTGAAATTGTTTATTTAACAGGGCGGCAGAGATTCCTGCCAAGGTGATTCCGGAGGCCCATTAACAATGAAGCTGGAGGGGCGAAGCACCCTCATCGGTCTAGTTTCATGGGGCATCGGATGCGGCCGAGAACACTTACCCGGAGTATACACAAACATACAGAAATTCGTACCATGGATAGACAAACTCGTCACACCACAGTGATAAATAGTTTACATCAATAATATTATGATGAATAGATATTTGTATTTGTTAATAAAATAGTTGACAATTTGTTAGACATACAAATTATTAAAAAAAAAAACAAATTGACAACTGTTTCATCTGAGGTTTTATGCATCAAAAATTGGTCAATCAAATTTACCGACTGAAAATTTATTCTCTTCTTAACCATTGACATTAAATTGGTTTAGTTCTCATTACAAACTGATCTGATAAAAACAATTGGATAAAAACTAAATTTATATATTTATAAAATATGGCTATTAAAAGGAAAATGCACACTGAAATAATTCAAAATCTAAGATGACCTCCGAAGAAAAGGTAGATTCTAGATTTAAAACAGTCCTTTTCTTTCGTCAATTTCTTTGCAATGAAATATAAAATTCGAGAACCACAAACTGACTTTGAAAAATTACTTACTAGTTGTATACTATTAGTACCTATAAAATTATAAAATTTATTATTTTTAACACAAATTGAACAGCTAAGAAAACATGATAACTTTAGAAGTTAAAGTTTCCAAATAACGAAAGAAGTATAAAAACTTATCAACGGAGAAAATATTGAAATAAAATAATAACTTATTGTACAAAGAACTAATTATTAACAGGAAAAGAAAAACCAATATATTATAAAAGCTATCCCGAAATGTCTACTTAAAGTAACCGGTAAAAACCAAAAATATTTCAAATACAAAGTACCTTCAAAACAATAACAAAATAAAAATAATTCATAAATAAATTAAAACTAATTGACACTTATGAAGACAATTATATTAAAAATTAAAATAAGTTTAAAATATGTGATATTAAATATCATTTAAACGTAAATATTTATACTGTTAAAATTGCTGTGGAATATAAATTTATAGCAATAATTTTTAATAATTATTAAGTTAAAAAATATAATATTGAATTTGAATTTGATTTAATGTCGTAAAAATATGTAGTTCTTATACTTGCTACTAAATAATGCATATTAGAAAAATTTACAAAATTATAAAATATGACTTGACGAGTGAAAGGAAATGGAAATCCCATTAAAGAGAAAATAAAAAAATCTGAATTAATAAATACAAGAACAGATTCATAGAATAAAACGAAAGGAAAGAGAGGACAGAAATTCCTATTCCAACCCCACCACATTACTTAAAAAGAAAATTATACATACCTTATTTTATTTTTCTTGTCTAAGGCATACATTAAATACCATACCCACTGCCCAATTTTGATATATTCCTACCTATTTCGGTTGTTAATAATGTAAATAGATATTTGTTAGAAGTCATAGTTAGGTCTAAATGTAAAGAAATAATATATTTTTGTCAATCGAAAATTTTGGTGCTAATTTTCTTTCCAAAATTAAATAAGCATATAATGCTTTTTAGTGTGATACCCAATGATTAGTATTTCGTATTTTTTTATTACAAGACTATTCTTTGATCATTTTTGTGAGTCGAAATATTTTTTAGAATTGAATTTTCTTGTCTATGCTCTTATTATTGGTTTATAATTAATTAATAGAGAAACTGCTGTGTTTAGAATTGGTTATTTTGTCTACTTTGATTATTTTATTATATAATATTCTTTTGTCATATCACAATCATTATTAATTTATTTGTTCATCAAATTGTTTCATAAATTCCATCAATTATAATTTACTAACCCCGATTCCGTTTTCATTTCGGATAGGATATCTATTCTTGCATGCCCTTTCTTATTATTTTTTTCTTTAAATAAATCTATTTATGCATCTTAAAGGCTTTTAAAACCATAATTTTCTATTTACGTAATCATATTTTTTATGTTTATTTAAGATCACATTGGTTTTAATAACAAATAATTCTGTTATTTATATGTTTGTATTATTATCATAAGTATAACAATTATTTTTGTAATTGTTTTTATTGTCATTTTTTTCACAGTGTTCTTGAATCAGCAGAGTTGGTTCTTTTTTTATTTTTATATAGTGTTATAAACAGTTTTTATAAAAATTTTATCTTCTTCTAGTACTATTATTTGTTATTTGTCTGATATGAAAGAAAATCGGCAGTGCCAACGATTTTATTAGTTAAATAAGATATTAATGTAACTATTTATTTGTGAAGTTATTTTAGGGAAAGAGAAGCGGTTTTTAATTATTTTTCTGTAATAAATTGTTTTACGTAATCTAGTTGTATTTATTTCTTTTGCCACAAATGCCACAGTCCACAGAGTTTTATGTAAAATATTGTGCTTAGTTAAAAAGCTCATTTATTGTTATTTTTAGTTGAAATTGCAATTACAGTGGGTACTATTAAACTTAAAACTATCCCCCTAATTTTAGAATAAGATTGTTCTCTGCTTGGATGGAGATTAATCACATCAATATTATATTGAAAAAGTTTAAATATCTATCGGTCTATTGAACGTATAAACTAAAAAACTACTTATCCGATTTTCCTGCGAGTTTCACTAATAAATAGAGTAATTTATCGGGAATTATTCTTATGTCATTCTTCTTATTTTATTCATATATCTTATGAATAAAATAGGATTTTGTGAATATTATCTGACGTATGACGTTATTTAATAACCTAATTACTATTTATATTCCATAATCTTTTCAACATCATAATGATATATTATTTCAGTATGTTTCGGCACATAAAATATTAACCAAGGCACATGTCAAAAATATTAATAAGAATATTATCATCGGGATTATTACATATAAAAATGTTAATATAGTATACAAGTTCAATAGTCAATAATTTATTGTCAAATATACTTATATCTAAATAAATATATGTCACCGTAATATAAATAGTACACGAATATACGTCCCTGCGGAATAACTTTTAAAAAAATTATTTATTTAATACTATATTTTCAGAGTGTTTGGATAGTATAACAGATTTATTTGCTTATATTGCTGGGATAAATAGAATGCATGAGATATCCTTAATGGGTGATCCTTGACAAAAAATTTCTGATGTTTGATCGGTAGTGCAAGTATAAAATTCATAGTAAAGTAGTTCCAATATAAAATAATCGGCAGCGTTCATTAATTTAGATGTTATACTTTAATGAGAAAAGAAGGTACAAACGGCTGCACGTCAGATTTCCACGATATGTCAAATTTCGCCAGTTGTTATTAATCTCTATCCTCAAATTAATAAGGTTTAAAATCAAGTGGAGAAATTTGACAGATTTGTATAATCTGACGTGTGAGGGCCAGTGACTGTACGTGGATCTGGATCTGACCAAGAATACTTTTAACAGGAAAATCGCGGCAGTGACTTAGTTATATCAAGTAAAGATGTATTATTACTACTTTTTGGTAAAGATGTTAAACAAGAGACACAACTCTACAGTTTAAAAACAGCGCCATCTATTCTATTCTTACTAGAACGTCACAAGAAGAGCAGTACAGAATCAACTAATTTAAGTAGTTTCGTAAGCTCACAAGAGATGGCGATTATATTAATAAAAAACAAGTAAGCAAGTTCGGCGTTATTTTTATTCTGGTAAAACATAATTATGTGACATTTCTATGATACATTCATCCCATCACGTCAGAACAAATACTAAACTTCTCCAAAGATTTTAAGGTTTTATTTGTTCTTGGTAAGGATCACATTTTTTTGTAGAGCTAGAAATGTGACTTTTCCTATAACCTGACCTACTGTTGTTGCAAAATTATATGGAAAAATAAACTATCAAGATACATCTTGATAAATCATATTGATATTCCTGGAGAAGCTGATTATATCTCTTTTTACCATTACACAGTAAACTTTCCTGTCTAGTGTTTCTGAATTTTCTGAAACAATTAATAAGCTAATTATTTACATTTAATATATAGGTTAAAAAATTGAAGACAGTCAAATGTAACTTTCTTCGAATTTCTTCAGGGGATGCGAAAGTTAATATTTCAGAGTAAATTTTTTTAGACAAATATTATTAGTATTTCAATCTTATAAAAGAATTCGGATACAAGAGAACAGTTTAGCAAACAATACAGAAAATAGTAACAAAAAATCTAGAGTGACATTGAACTTGACGCGTTGATGTCTTTTGTTCGGACCGCACGATTATGTACGGTGTTTAACGTAAATTTCATTGAAGTAAGAATTTAGTCAAAGCAATGACTTTGTTACACATACAGCATGTTAGATTACTATATCATCCCAACATTAAAGACTTAAATACGAGAAAAACTTGAAATAGAGAAATGATATAAGCTATGTCTTATTGCTATACAGGGGATGAAAATTAGTAATGTTTTTTGTTACCTAAAGTAAGTGTACCATATGGAAAATAAATAAATTTACAATTATAAAATTAATATTTAAGATTCTTGATAAAATATGACACCGAAGATTCACAAATTCGGGGAAGAAACTATCCAACTAATATTATAAATGTAAATGTTTGTGAAGATGTATGTATGTTTGTTACTCTTTCACGCAAAAACTACTGAACGGATTTAGATGAACTGTAAGCCTGATTAAATATGTTAGGAACCATACGGCTGGCGAAAAGCATGTCATTATATAAAGTCAAAGTCAAAATAATATTCTCACCTTTGCGTTATTAGCCATATTTTGTCGTCTCCTAGGCACTTCTAATATTTCACGTAATTTAAGGATAAACCTTAACTACGAATGCACGGCTAGAATAAGGCAGATAGGGTACCGTGATCTTCTCTTTCTAATTAAGGGTCAGGAGACCTGCAGGACAATTCTGCTAATGTTAGCTTAGTTATGGAAAGTCAGTAGCGCTCCAACTCCAGTACTAACTAATAACAGAAACTGTGTCATAAAGGGTACAACCCTTTATGACACAGTTTCTGTTAGTAGATCACAAAATAATAAATATACCTATCACCATTTATTTATGAAGAAAATAATAGTTGAGACTATTGAGATTGAAATGCGATTATTACGTAAAAATTAGCAGAATTAAGGTCCCGGCTCTCTTGCTCTATCTATAATATCTCTATGTGATTATAAACCAAGGTGGTCCAATAATATATACCATTCAGAATGAGATGAAAGCAAATATAAAGAACACCGAGCAAATTATTTCTCAACTATAACTTTTAACGTTAATTACAATCTTAAAAACATAGACATAAAACTGAAACTTGAATGATAACTGTTTGTTAAAAAAAGGATTCACATATCGAGTTTTACCACTGACCTTCTATTATCCAGACTTTATAATACAAAACGCAAGAAAAGACGTTTTATTTCTATGTGTTAAGGTTTGGTTTCATTTGAAGGTAATGAACTGCAACACCTTTTTTTAAAAGGTATGATCTGTTTTAATGAATTGTAAATTATGGTCGAGTATAAATATAAAGTTCGGTGTTTCTTGAGTGTATTTGAAATAATAATAATTAGCACTGTGCATAAAAACTAAACAAAAAATGAGATGGAATAAATAGATTATTTAATTAGTTAGATAGGGAGCATTTTTAATAAATCACTATTGATATAATGATGTACATAACTAGCTGTTACCAAATTAGTCCGCGTGGTTATGAAAATATTCATTATTACAAAATTCTGTCTTAGTTAGTTAAATACGCCCTATAACGAGCCTCTATGCAAAATTTGAGACTCCTAGAACTTGTAATAATGAAGTTTCATACAAAGTTTCAACTCCAAAAACAACTCCTTAGGGGTTGAATTTAGCAAAATCCCGTCTTAATGTCCAAAAAAGAACTACCATGCAAACCATTCTGAGATTTCGTGATGAGTGAGTGAGTAAATATATCATTATCAGCCCCTTTATATCCCCACTGCAGGGGCTCAGGATTTCTATGACCCTCCACGCTAGCCCAATGCGAATTAGAGGATACTAATGACTGCAGATAACGACTGCCGGGATCAGGGGGTTTTAATTGTGGGGTTGGAACCGGGGCCGTCTATACCCGGATCCCGGATTCCTTCCCACAATGAAGGTTTTATCATGTAGACCAGCTACGGTTTCACTTTGCCCCCTTGGGGCAGAATATAGGGACTTTTAAACAGGGCTCTGCAGCCCTGTTTAAAAGCACAAGTTACTCCTGCCCCTTTATGCTATGACATCCCTGTCCTTTAACGCTGAATTTAATGTGGTAACTTTAAGTATTTTACCACTAATGCGTGTTTATTCTGATTTATGATTAAAAATGAAGTTACGTCACTTCTTCTTCTTCAGAGCCAAAACAAGCTTTAAGCTTTTACCACTAATGCGTGTTTATTCTAGACTACGGAATTCAGGCTATAGGGACAATACGTAATTTATGATTAAAAATGAAGTTACGTCACATCTTGTTTTGAATACTTGAACTCGAGAAATGTAGAGTCAAAACAAGCTTTAAAGCTGGTGGTGTGATAATATAAGAATAAAGATGGCCTATTCAAAAGGATGTATTTAGGTATTTTTTTATCTTAATTAATATATTGTACTTTAAGCCTTGAATTGTCTCTACGATATTTATTTAATTGGGTCAGTAAAATTATTTTTGAATATAATTAATATATTTTTATGTGATAGAAATAATAAAAAAGCATTATTTCAACATAGGGCTATCTTAAATTTCTCCAATCGACTATAAAACTTAATATTTTGTTTTTAAAATACAATATTTTGAAATTTCGTAGATCTAGTAGAGTAAAATATGTGATTCTAATAACAGCAACTCGTCCGTGCTTCTGATAGATGCAACTACACCAACCGGTGTAATTTTTCTTATATCTTCAAAAATTATCGTGTTATTTCAGTGAATTTACATTATTTATAAGTTTACCATATGAAAGCTTCTAGTAAGGTGCTCTATCAATTAATAGAGACCTCCTGAAAATTAGTTTGGTAGATTTTGAGTTAACTGCGTTCAAAGAAATATACCAGATGTTAAAACCTCACATCGCTATAGGTAAATATAACTAGAGCAATTTCTACAAGAATTTCTAAGTTTGTGAGGCGAAACAAGAACTAAACATATATTTATAGATAATGACTGTATAGTAAGTTGAATTTTAAAATTTCCTTATTCATTCTCTTTCTTCGTTGCCTAATATCGAGCATCGCATTCAAAAACCTTCGACCAATAATTCCCGTTAAGGCACAACGAGTTTTTAAACATCCTCGACTGACATCATCTTCTTATTTCACAATAAAGTCCATTATCGCACACAACCCACTTATGACCTTCTCGCGCTCGAGTTTACAACGCTCTGCGTCCGCGCAAGCCAGTATACAACCGACTTTAGAACGCGCGGCAGCCATGCGCAAAAAAACGAACTATTTAAAAAACGAAAACGAACCCCTTGTCAGATCAAACTAAACGTGTGCCTTAAAAATTCAAAAATAAAATCTAAAACTAGTGTTCTTTTTGTTTTAAAAGTTATCGAATTTATCATAATTTTAAAAAGCTTCATTCTCATTACAAAAGCATATGGCCAATCCAAGGATGTGAACTTTTTTAATTTCGTCGCTAGTACAAGGGAATGTGGTTTCAGTGCTGTTACGCATAAGAACGAGTGTTGTGTAATTTTTTTGAGCTGATTGTTTTTTAATGGTGGTAGTGCCAACTTTTGCGGAGTGCTAAGAGTCAGTGTAGGATTTAAATTAAGGTTCTTTTAAGGTAAGAAAAATTGTTACCTTTAAAAATTATTAGCATAAAAACTTTTACTATAAGTTTTGTTTTGAGAATCCGATACTAGCTAAATAATTGTTTATATTCTACGGTAATTATTAACAAAAAGCATTTGTTTTTATATCTTCGGTTCTATTGTTAAGGTCGTATATAATTGTGTTTCGAATCAATAGTTCTTGTCGAATGCGAAAAAGTATCGATCAATCTCCATTCAATGAGTCAATGGTTTTTTATCAAATCATAATTACTTCACCATGATTACTTAATAAGCAGTGAATTTAAGAAATTTAGGAAGTATTTAAAAAAAAGCCACAAATCATACTTTATTTTTTTCTAGAATAAAAAACTAGTTTTTATGACGCTAGCAAAATATAATTATGCATCTTCTTGATATTTTCGTAGAAAAACAAAACAAGCCGCCTATGAATATATAGTAACTCTAACTGTATTTAATAAATTTTGCATTCAGAAAGCTATATTGATACTACTAGATTTTTTAATAAATTTATCCATGACATAGAGATGCCCTAGATGGGTTTCGATAAACTCTAATGGCACGAGTAGTCGGTTGGTTTGTGAAACGGTTAGGGTTATGGATTTGATTATATCGTGTACCTGAAATAATCAAGTTTATTAAGTAGGTACAATACTTATGCAAGTGACTGTATTTCAATGATCTGAAGTATTAAGCTGTAAAGTCCATGTGAATGTGGTCTTGTATTATATATTAAATCTTCCTCTTGAATTACTCTGTATATTGATGGATTCGTATTAAAATTTATCCGTTTTTTTAGTTTCAAATGTCTTAGCGTACAGACGGCGAGATATACTATGTATAGATTTGTTTAGAGAAAAGTAAACGAATATGGAATATAATTCCTAATATAGAATATTGAAATTCCTTCTTAACTTATAATTACCTCGACGTCGAGGTAAATTAATTGTTTTAAAAAATGCACGAACAAGACCCGATTGCATATAATTATAATGTATACAAATCGTGTGAGTTTAAAAATATTATCCTTCTTAAGTTATTCCAAAAAGTGAAAATTTGTAAATTGGTATTGGTTCTCATGTCTTATTTCGAAGTACACCAAAAATCCTGTGAAGAATATTCTTAGAAAGTAATTTCTGTATTCCATTTTAGGTATATTTATAACAAGAAAAATTTAGAACTTGTATTATCAAAATACCTACATATATAAACAAAACTGCGACCACATGCCATATCATGATAAATCTATAACATCATTAGCATATCAACATCAAAATCTTCAGTCATATAACCTATCTTCAGTTTTATCTTCGCATAGCGCAGCAATACTATTTCATAAGCATATTTTCGTTATTAGCAGTAACGTGAAAAACATATGACTTCATAGTGGTTCCGGCAGTGTTAATATGTAAGATGACGTCAACGTGACAGATGCAGAAGGCGTACCGGATGATAACCTTGAATCAATCGACCGAATATTTATCACTAGTGCAAAATATAAAGGCGAAAGTAGTTCTGTATCTGTACAATAATAAAGCTAAGCTGTTCAACTGCTATAAATAAGAAGTAGAGGTCGTATGATTGTCGAAGTTCGACCATAAAGTTAGAAATTTGTTAATGTTTCATTATGAAAGACAAAACTTCTTTATATTCTCTGACATTAGGTAAATAAAGATGTAAAGCATTATTACAAAAGATATTTCAAAAATAATTATCAGTTTTCTACATTTCTTCTTGATATACTTTCTCTCTCTTTCTCTCGCTCAACAAAAGGGGATCTAAAGTTTTACAAATTTATAAATAAGAAATAAGATGACAGATACAAGACAGAAAATCCCGGTTTTTAGGGTTTCGTAGTAAACAAGGAACCCTTATAGTTTCCACATGTCCGTTTGTCTGTCCGTCCGTCCATCTGGCCGTCTGTCCATCTGAGGTTGAGTTCAAAAACTATTGGTACTAGAAATTTCTAAGTACCCATGAGTATACATGTTAATTACGCCGACAAAGTGGTAAAGAAATATCAAAAAAAATATTTAGGGTATCTCCTCTATCCCTATGTAAAGTAGGGATTTTTTACTTTTTTTTGAAAATGATAATGAATAATAGAACCCTTCGTGCGCGAGTCCAACTTGCACTTAACCGATTTTTAGCTATAAGTAAAGAAACAAAGATAATATTTTGAAGTATTAATAATTAGCCAAATAATAAAGTTGTTGGGTAGACAGACATCACCTCTCTCATAGACAATATTATACTGTATTGATCTAACAATAGATTGTTAAATTTTTTTGTTGTTATATAAACGCGTTGCTATACTTACTTTTTATACAGATAATATTTTTGATGAGATTATTAAGATTTTTATAACTTCGATTAGTAATATTCTGTATATTGTCTAGTGTTAAAGATTATTAGTTGCACAACACTCCTATCAGCGTAGGAGTGTTGTGCATCTCTGTTTCAAAACATATTACAAGTTTGCGTATTGATCAAGTATTGATCCATCGATATAGCGTTGGGAATTTCATTGCATCATAACAGTAGAACCATGAAATGCAACCCTGTTTCATTGTTATTCACATTGGTAACTTAAATTATGACCTTAGTTTAAGTTTTACCTCTTTGGCCGAACGGCTACTCGCCGGTTTTAAGGTGTCGACATGTTTAAGGTCCCTTCGATTCCCTTTCGACACCAGAGACAACTATCAAAATGAACTTTTCTATATTATATAACGCTAGCCGTAAGATTTGACATCTTAGCGAATATTATGACTATATTTCGTTTCATTTTACTACTTTGACATGTATTTTGGTGGATAAATTTAGAATAAATGACTAAAAACTGATGTCAAATTCATATTCTTTATTCTATAACATTCATGCTTCGTTATTAAAGTACATACATGTCAGAGTACTAAAATGAAATGAAATAGTGTTAAATTAATTGCTAAAATGTAGTATCCATAGTATCGTATCCTATGGCTAGAGTTATATTCGTATCTAGAGGAATTAGGAGTCTGAGTGTTGTATTACGTTCATTGATTCAAATTCTTATGTTTTCGCTACTTGGGATCTGATAATGTACCTTTGTGATAATTATTTATTTTCATTTAACTTAAGACTGTACACAAGCAACCAATCAACCAACGAAATAAAATCAGCGGACCAGCTAATAAGATGTTAGGATCGGATTATGGCATTTTGCCCGAAATAGAGCGTCAAAAATAATTACTCGTTTATAACGTTTATAATTCCTATAAATAGATATAGAAAAAATCGTTGATAAGAAATTTAATTAATGGAAAATTCTAAAAGTATGTTTGTAATTTCTATCGTACTTTTTCTTACATAGATACATCTATCAAGATTAAAAAAATACTATAGAATGTTTTCTCATTTTTATACAGCTACTTAGTGATTTATTTAATTATTCATTAACTTGTTAGTGAACTTTAATTTGTGTATCCTCTTATTTTAAACAAATCTTATAGTTCCTTAAGCTACTTATACATTTATTTTTCGCCACTTCTGCCGTACGGACCTTCCCTATAGATGAAATTAAATCGAATCGAATAGGACTTAGCACGGGCTTAATGCGGATTGGTAGACCAACGGCTTAACATACCTTCCAAAGCACGGAAGAATTCGAGCTGTAAAATTTCTTGGCCAGTGATTCTATGACTGGCCATTGTGAAAGTAGCATAATAAAGTGTCATAGATCAAAACCGATACTCCATCGACCTCCTCAAAATATACAATCACTTATTTAACTCTTTATCTCTCTACGAAGCCACACGAACGATGTCAGTTAAAAATGTCACATGTTACAAAAGTTGTCCTGCCTTTATACAGCGGTTGTTATAAAAATCCTTGTGTGGGACTTAATAAATTACAAACTATGTAATAAAAAACACTTTAATGGCAGTCATCGGTAAAAGTGATTTGATTTATAACACTTAGGTAACGACGAAATGTTTGTGGATCCAATTTACACAACAACGTGGCGTTGTGTTGTATTATGATGAACTCGAGAGATTGGAGAAACTGGCGAGAGCGAGACGAGTGTGAGATATTGTATGATCATATTTCACTCTCGACTAGTTTCTCGAGCTTCCCGAGCTTTTTTCCAGTCACTCGAATTCGTCATGCTACTCTGGCAGGGCTTTCATTCTGCTAATGTTACAATGGCATTTCAATGGTGTCTCATTAATTTTAATTTGTTATTGTACAGCACAATTATCTATTTGAAGCCCAATATTTTAGTGCAATGTCTTTTCCACAAATCAATGGTCACTGATATTTTGTATTATTTGTGAATTTAGAAAAAAAAACTGTGATAAAAGGAGTTATTTAAGCGCAAATGATTTGCTATAATTATGCTAATATTAGAAGAATTAGGATCCTGTCTATCTTCTATAGTGTATATTACGTATGCTCTTTATATTCTGAAGCAGATAGCGGTGTGAAGGTTAAAATAGTATTCAGGTTGGTTGGTTATTGGAGTGTTTGAAGTACCTAAAGTAACCCTTTTCGCCTTATAGGATCACTCGGTTGTTTGTCCGTTTGTCACGGTTAACGGGGCTTACTCTGTTTGTTTTAATATCCGGATAATGTCGAATCATTCTTACGATTTTGTAAAATTATATCCCTGTCAGATTATCTGTGTTGTATTGGAAAATGAAGAGAATCGTATATTAGCACCTGTAATTCATCATAAGTTGTCAAGGGCAAGCAGAGGTGTATGTGTGCATGGGTAATCTGTGTGCTTAATTACCAGCAACTGTTCAGTTGCGTAATGGTTCACCTGATAATTTTAGTGGGTGTAATATCAGTCAGTTGGCGGATGCTTTTTACTACTTGAACATGTTTGCGTAAATATTTTAAAGGTATTTTAAAATCGTGAAACTTCTATTAAAGTCGGACGCAGATTTGTATACGTAATATTAGCAAACTGATTCAGGCTTCATGGTGGATGAAATCCTTTGACAATCAG